GGAAGACAACACACACACACACACACACACACACACACACACACACACAACACACACACACACACACACACACACACACACACACACACACACACACAACACACACACACACACACACACACACACACACACACACACACACACATCTAATGCACAATCTGTAAATAAATCAGCCCTGAAAACTCCTCAGGTGACCCCATAGCTAACATTAAACAAACTAACTGAATAATGTTAATGACTTTCCTAAAGTAGATACAGCTTTTCTCTGGAAACAGTAAATTAGTATACAGCAGTAACTGGGTAGAAATAATAATATGCTGATGGAAAAGTGCCAAATGAGTGCACTTTCAAATGCACACACAGTCAAATATTGTAATGCATAAAGGGAAAAACATATAAGCATGTGATTCTTATAAACTAAAGTCATTTTCAAAATTTAATATGTTAAACAGCACGCACATTTTCCCTGATTCTGTAAAAACGATTACACCACAAATACTACTCTAGTTTATATCATGAATAGGAGTCAATTATTTTAGTGCCCACAAAATAATGTTTTAGAGTTTTTAAGAACTCCCTCAATTATTTATCAAATTACTTTAAGACCAGTCAGATTATATTTGATGCATTCAGTAATTTTCTACACACTGGTCCAGTTGCTTAAAAATTAACTGCCAACTTTATTCACTAAATGGATTCAATAAAAGTGTTATTTTCCATATAGCTAAAGCTTGGGAAAAGCCATAGTAAGCCATGGGGAAAAAAAAAAATCAATTTCCAGGGAATTGCACTGCCTTGCATGGGCAGAAAATGGATGGAGTTTTTAATTCAGTATCACCTGGAAAAAAAATAGTTTGCTTTCAGACCATTATAGTAAAGCTTTAAATATTTTGCTCCAAACATCCACCAAATTGAATAAAGCAAGGCTCCATTTATCAAGGGAAATATTTTTCTTCTATACGTTTCTGAGGTTGAAGCTTCAGAGAGCTGTGATAATTAGGAGTAGAGCGCAGGTAACAGAAACAGCTTCCTTTCCAAGCCATTCTGCCAATCCCTAAAAGAATATTGACAGATTAATGTGTAAAGTCCAATTCAACACCCAATTTAATTGTAGTACAACCTGATTGATGCAATTTGCAATCAGCTAATTACTATATTTAGGGTCAGAGGCAAAATGATAGACAAGTCAGAAAAACTGGCAACTATTTTCCTCTTTGAGGGAAATTTTGTTCTTCATTACCTTTATATTACTAATGCAGAAAAACAGCTGGTATTTTAACCTATATAAAAGATAGAACATGAAGAAAAGAAAAGAAAACCTCATTACACTGTACCAAATGAGAAATTTTAAAACAGCATAAACAAGAGCAGTATATGAAATAACTTGAGATGCTAAGGTTAGCAGAGCTGCTCCTGGGTGTACTGTGATCGGTGGGTATGAAGGATACACACGCAAACTGCACTATCTATTGGCCAGTACAAATGGGCTAATTCCTTCAAAACCTTTCTTAAGGTAGTCTGAACAGCACTCTTAACAACCTCATTTGTACCATCAGCTTCCCTTATAAGCTACACCCTTATCGGGGTCCAAAGTAAATTCCAGGAGAACAAATCTCATATATTTGTATGTATATACAGGATTCAGGCTTTAGAAGGACCACACTCTGAGACTGCACCCCTCCCACCACTCCATCAGGGCCTTCCAGATAAAAGAACCAGTAGTTTCCTCTCAGAAAAATAAATACACTGAGATATATTGCTATTACACATTCTAATAACATACTAGGATGGACCTAGGGGCTTGTTTTTATGGAATTTTGTTGGAGGAAGAGAAGGCAAAGGAGTAGGTATGGCACGTCTCTGAGCAGCTTCAACGATTATAAACCTGACATTGTAGTTTTGTTTTGTTTTGTTTTTTTCCCTACCTCTAATACCCAGGAGGTTGAGAAGAGAAGTGGAGCAGCCAACTAACAGCATTCCAACCTGACCAGGAATGGTAGGCATCCAACAGGGGATGAGCTGAGAGACTATTGTGTGTGTGTGTGTGTGTGTGTGTGTGTGTGTACACGTGCGTGTGTGTGCATATGCTAAGCATTCAGTAAGCAAATTCAAGGACAAAAATTCAGAATCCCTCAGACAATAAGACTGTAAGAGCCTACAGACAAAAGTTGTTTTGGAGTAAAAATTCTAAAACCATCTCACTTAAAAAGACAGTATCCATAAAAAGATAGGTGAAGTGTTTCTACAATGTTTTAAAGTTTTATAGACCTCTGCCTGGCCTATTTACTGACTGATAGATATTTATTTTAAAAACACAGATTCTTTTCCTTTCTGCTTATTTGGATTTCTTGTTTTTATATAGTATGTAAATATTATCCACGTAAAAAAAACATTTAAAAGGAAAACTATTAGAGCCACGCTCATGAACTGATTACAAACAACCTTTTGAGAATCTCAAATCTCTGATCAAAATGGTTACTTTAATTGATTTTAACTATGAAAATAAATCACTAACAGGATCAACTAATAGGTAATAACACTGTCGTCTCTTTAGACAAGCAAATTAGTTCAACTTTTCTAAATGAAGCACAGGAACAGTGGTCATTTTGATACAAAAGTGGGATTTATATGCCGACAGGATACAATATTTAAATATTACGGTTGGGAACAAGTATCAGAAAAATCACAGAACTGTACAATTTTTCAAGCGCATAGCCCAATTAGGTCATAAAACTAGTCAGTAACAACTAGTCAAGGTTAGAACTCAGTCCTTCAGTATTCTCTGCTCAATGCCATATCTTAGCAGCTGATGTCCTGGCTAAGTATGGAGGGACATCCTCTCCCATCAGGCTCACTGGCCCACAGGAAGGAAAACAATAAATGGAAGAGCACTCACAAGTTAAAAGCAATTTCATTAGCTGTGGTATTTGTTTTTAGGAAGATAAATGTTTCAAAGATCACACAGCTCTTTATAGAGAAAAGAGCTGAAATAATGTTTTTATTGAATAGAGATACTGAATTATTTTTAAATATAGCTGTTTCCTTGTTTTGACTAAAAAAAGGAAATAAAAGGCAGAACACTAGGTGTGAGAGGAGAAGAAGAAAAGCCATTAGAGTTACAATTACACGTCAACTCAAATGACCTGGGAGAAATGATGGGCACTGGGCTCTGCTTCTGCGGAAGGAAAGTCAGGGGCTAGGTAAGTAACATGGACTAGACAGGACAACCCACGAGTGGGGTGGGTAGGGGAGGGAGTCATGTAGTGTGGACTCCCATACACAGTCTCATTTATATTCTGGTCTTCATATGGGATGTAAGATGAACGGTAAGAATCTAAGAGTTTTTATATAGTGGTTATAATACAGCTTTTAAGCTAACTTTACAGTAGAATTCCTATTTTTCTTCCTCCACTTGTTTTGTTTTTCTTTTCTTTTTCTTTTTTTGAACACAGGAAGTTTTCCTAATGGCATCTGAAGTTCTCCAAACAGCCAAGAGCAGGATCAGAATTAGTTCTAAGATCGGTGGCTTCCCAGTACATTTATAGTTGATTTATCAGGAATAGGAAAATAGTGCGACCCTCTCCTACAAAATCTAAAACACGAAAAGAAGGAAAACAACTTCAGAAATGCAAAGGTCAAAGTCATTCATCCTTGGAGTAACTATGTACTTTTTTAATCCTTTAAATTGACCCAATGGGCCATTTCTAATCAGTTTTAAATCAAGAGCCAACATTAAAGAGATGATACCACACTAAAACTGAAGTGGGAAAAACACATCACAAAAACACACCAGTGGGACTGATTTATAGCTCTCGGTGACACATGCCTAAACTATCTTACGATTCAGCTTTTCTTAAGCTAGAAAAAAAGGAATCCTCCATCATTAAGCAGTAAAGTGTCTCCCTTCCAAGGACTAAAAGTTAAACTTAAAAAAAACTGCTTGATTTAATATAACATTAATGAAATTAATGGGAAAAATGAAATGAAATTCAATTATGGATCAAGCAAAGAAAATATTCTTTGTTTATTTATGCCTGTGTTAAGAAGAATCAGTACCTATCACTTATAAATCATTAAAATAAAAATGCTCAATTAATCCTTATTTTATATGTACAGGTCTGAAAGAAACTAGTCCTATCCCTAGACCTTTGCTTCACAAATCGAAGCAAAAATGGTTTCAGAAAGCAGTCACACTCTATGAACAGACAATTGGAGAGATTTAGTAAATCCCACTTTAGAGAGCAGAGACTAATCGGAAAACACAAGCCAGTCAAATGTTTCTTATGAACTGTTGACACTATATCAATGCTGAATCAATTGGTGGCATTTACTCTGAGTGACAGAAAAGAAATAAATATTTATATCACATAACCTATATCAATGAACCCAGGCAGAAAGCTATTTCTAACCTGTCAATATTTGATTATCTTGAAGAATCATGTCCCTTTCTTTTAATGATTAATATGAATTCCTTATTAAATCTAAGTGGAGGCTAGTGGAAAGGCAAATCATTATTAATGCTTGAGAGCATAAACCACTGAAATAAAAAACTATGCTCGAGTGTTAAAGTATTGTTAAATGTGACTTACATCTTCCATACCAAGTGGTGTCAGTGCTCAGCCCAGAAATTTATTGACGCCACAGCTGTGCCTGTTACCCTCACTACCATGTGATCTCCTTTTAGCTCCCCTACAGCATCAAGGAACTGAGAAGTTAGTACAAGGAGGAGGCACTAACTGTGAGGACCACCAAAGGCGGGTTTTTCTGGTTTGTTTGTTCTTCTGAATGAAAGTAAATACAATGAAGGCTGCTCCTTGAAAGCAAGCGCCATACTGTTTAACACGGAGTTATCCCATCCCCAAGGGAAAGGGAAAGCAATAAACCATCGTTAAGTGTAAAAAATCATTATTATGACAATCTTCCACCACCGAGGACCTCACAACTGAGACCACTAAGATATTTATGGTACTAGGTCTGTTGTCAAAACATGAGGAACATTTCAGAATGCTTATTTTTTCGCACTGGAAATAAACGGTTTTTCATCTTTGGAAGAGGAATCTATGACAGGTTATTTTCCATTGCCTGGGCTGAACAAATGTAGTTAAAGCTTCTTAATTTATGTCAATTTTGAAATATATTTTCCAGCTGAAGAAAGCAAGTGACTCATACATAAGTTACAATTAGTAACTAGAATGCATGCATGCTGAAGACACATAAACATCCCAGGCTCCAGGTTTCTACTTTTTGTCAGGTTTCATGTCATACTGGCTCTGAACACAGCCAGGGCACTAGGGGAACATACTTGTGGACCTCAATCCAAACAAACCTCTGGCTGCTTAAAGTCAAAAGTATCAGGTAAATTTTGAGGCCATCGAGATCACACATACAATACCAGGTTTCCGTTAGCCGTAAACAGAAAATCTAAGGACTAGAATTCACACACTCTGGATGACAATCAGACGTCAGAACCAGATCAACTTATTTTTTCCAACTGTATTCAAGGACTATGTGCTAAAGAAGCTGGGCTTCCAGAAGCACTACCCGCCAATCTCCGCTGTAAGGCACACACATCTATTAGGCCGCAAAGTTACAGGTGATATTAAAGGACAAGCACGGGGACCCAGCTTTGTCTTCTTGACGGGCTCCACTACAAGTACTTGATTCATGAAATGCCAATGAGCCTCGGAGAGGTCAGCGTGTGAAGGCACTGAATAAGCATCTGAGATAATTAAGATTTCAGCCTTCGAAACATGGACGGGAAGTGAACAGCAGTTAAGAAAATCAATAAGAGTCTTTTATTTGCAGTGACACAGATGTCTCAGTCAATAGAGCCTAATAGGCAGGCTTGATCGCAATGGACAGGCGCCTGCCTCCAAGGCTATCAAAGGGCTTCCTCTATAACAAACATTAAAACGCATTTATGTTGCTATTGAAGAATTGAGGACCCCGTAGGTAGCTTAATTTGCCGGTGTATGTTTAAAAGCACTACACTATTTCAGATGCGTCCATTTACTTGAATCAGAATTAGTGCGAATACCCGGCCTGCAGGCCTGGCTGTCCCTCTCTGCCCAGGTTAGGCCATTCAGCTTCAGCGGGCCAGCAGGCAGGGCGAACCAAACCAGGGGCTTCTCAAGCCAAGAAATCTTAAATGCCAAAGGTCGGCTGTTGCTCTGTTTCCCTAAAAAACCAGTGCTCCTTTTGGGACCAAAGAAGGAGCCAAGGTAAGAAAGGAACAGTTTTTCCTCTTCTCCCCAAAGATAATGGAAGTGGCGGCCACCTCCCGACGCAGGGCCATTTCGACAACCCATGGGTTGACACACTTGTTCAGAACTGATTAACTTTTTTCAGACTGAGAGGGCAGCAGGGTGTGTGCATGGTACTTCAATCTGCTAGGAGTGAGACCCATTAGCACAGTTTGAGAGACGTGCTGCAAATTGTTCTGCCAATCAAATTAAGCCACCGTAATTCATTTATGACAAGAAGGTGTTCGCGGGCTCTTCATCTGTTTACGAAGTTTATGGACACAAAAACTGGACAGTAATGAGTTACTGCTATGTGGAAATCTTAATATGCAATGACACCTACCTGGCCATTGGCTAATATTTTTTTCAGTTCAGCAGAAGATTTCTTTAAGCTGGAAAAGGAAGACATGATTTTTAATGGCAAGATCATGGACACCGTGGAACACCGCTCAGAATTCCACACTAAAACACGTCTCAGTTTCAGGTGTAGACATGGACTACCCTCTTTACAACCTTTTTCCTATACATAAAATTTTCTCCAAGTAACTGGCCTACCAGAAAGGGTATTAATAAAAAACCTGAAACCCTAAAGCAATAATGAAGCCTCGAGTCATGATGAAGCTAGGCTGCCTTGTGGATTACGTCAGTGACCCCTTCGGCCATTCGTCCTGCTGCCTTTGGGTAGCCTTTCAGTGGCGACTTGATGTGGAGTCTGTCATCTGCTAAATACAGAGTACTTAGCAATGCACTCTTCGGATGTTTATAGAAATGAGAAAATAGAACTTCAAAAGATAAAATAGGTAGTTTAAGTCCTGATCTTTTACAGTTGAGATTTGTAATTCAGCCTGCTGAGAAGCAAATGTGCAGCAAAAATCAATTCTGGGACTCGCTCACTGTGGGATCCGGGACAATCTGTTACTCATCCTCTCTGAGTGGCCAGGTAAAGTGGGGGAAATATCAATGTTATAGGATAAAAAAATTAAATATTAGAAAAAGCTCATGTATATAGTAGATACTAAATCAATTTCAGCCGCCTTCTCTTTCCTTTTCTGTCCTTTAAGTGGGAGACCCAGCTTCCAGACACATTTAAGAAATATGAAAATGGAGGCGCCTGGGTGGCTCAGTGGGTTAAAGCCTCTGCCTTTGGCTCAGGTCATGATCCCAGGGTCCTGGGATCGAGCCCCGCATCGGGCTCTCTGCTCAGCAGGGAGCCTGCTTCCCTTCCTCTCTCTCTGCCTGCCTCTCTGCCTACTTGTGATCTCTGTCAAATAAATAAATAAAATCTTTAAAAAAAAAAGAAATATGAAAATGTTCTTCTCTGGATATATATGGCTATCTAAACACCTATGGAATGAATTTAGGAAAAGCGGCCAGGGGATGCTCTGAAGTTCTTCTAGCTTTATAATCAGTTATACCCAAAGATATCCACCCACTTAGAAGAATGGTGTACAAAATAGCCCCTCATCTCATCAATGTTCTAACTGGAAATTTAAGCTTGTTTATTCTTTATCTACTCAAACCCTCTACCCAACTACCAAATTAACTCTCCTCTCTTGTGTAGGTGCCTTTCTTCTCAACATACCCACCCCTAAAACTGGGAGGTCCCTGAGAACATAGGCCACATCTTGATCTCCTCTGTATCTCTGTATATTCCCTTCCCTTCCCACCCTTGTTCAGTAAATGGTGGTCGTGGTTCTGGTTGTGATTTATTATATGGCAGTCCTAGACACACACACACACACACACACACACACACACACTCATTTGGTATCTTTAGTAAGCTATAATCAAGAAAGATCTCAGACTTCAAGTTTGACCATACTTGCTATTTCAAGTTATGATGATTATTCTTTCTAAATACTTCTTAAACTTCTGCTATGGTCAAATGCAGACTATAGAGCCTCAGTCCCTACTTTCTACAGATTTTATAAAATATGCCCTCAACCAAGGATTCTAAACTTGATTTTTTTAAAGACTTAATTATTTGAGAGGGAGAGCAAGAGAGAGAGAGAGAGAGAGCATGAGTGGGGTGAGGGGCAGGGGGAGAAGCAGCCTCCCCCCTGATGAGGGAGCCTGACTCTGGGCTCAATCCCATCATGACCTGAGCTGAAGGCAGACACTCAACAGACTGAGCCACCCAGGTGCCTCAGGATTCTAAACTTTAATAATGTCCTCCTGAGTCTAAGAATTCATGTACTAAAGTGGGAGTTAAGAATTCTATAGAACAAGGGGTGCCTGGGTGGCTCAGTGGGTGAACCATCTGCCTTTGGCTGAGGTCCTGATCTCAGGGTCCTAGGATCGAGCCTCACATCAGGATCCCTGCTCAGCATGGAGTCTGCTCCCCGCCCCCACCCTGCTCCTTCTCTCTCTCAAATAAATGAAATCTTTAAAAAAAAAAAAAAAAAAAAGAATTTTGTAGAATGAGACTGAAGTAGAAACACAGATCAAAAAATAAACTGACAAAATCAGTCCAGTTAAGAAAATAATAATAGCAGCTATCATTTATTTAGATGATACCATGCACCAGGAATGGCACTAAATGCTATTACATATTATCCTGATTTAATCCTCACAGTAACAATAGCCCTGTGGGAATAATTTATTAAGGAAACTAAGGTTCAGACCTCCTCAGTCTGTTTCTCTTACACACACACACACACACACTTTTTTTCCCTTGTAAATATATAGAACCTTGTAATCCCACAGATAACTCCCAATTTAACAGTTACAATTACTGTAAAAACAAAAATAACCAAACAATGTCTAGGCAAGGTTTCTCCACAGATACTCCATAATGTCATACAACTTGAAATAATAACATTTTGATTCATTGCATTTACAAAACACCTTTCATCCAAGAAACAACATGTGATTCCTTAATACAGCTTCATCAATCTTCCTAACACCGGAGGTAGAGAAATGTTAAGTTTAATCATCCTGAGTTTACAGAAGGAGAAAGCCACAATATTTAGGAAAGGCCTTGACTTGGCAGTGGGACTTGAATTCAGTAATTATGGCCTAGCAACACCATGTGGCTTAGTAAGCTCAGTTTAATAAACAATCATCCACCTAAGGCAAAGACTGATTCATGCTTTGAGAGTAACCAAGGAGAATACGGATTTCATTCATTATGCCAATGTCTGACTACCACTTGGTCTCATTAAAAGAAAAAGTCTGGGGGCACCTGGGTGGCTCAGTCAGTTAAGCATCTGCCTTTGGCTCAGGTCATGATCCCAGGGTTCTAGGATGGAGCCCCACACTGGGCTCCCTGCTCAGCGGGGAGTCTGCTTCTCCTTCTGCCCCTTACCCTGCTCATGCTCTCTCTATTTCTTTCACCCTCCCTCTCAAATAAATAAATAAAAATCTTAAAAAAAAAAAGAAAGAAAGAAAGAAAGAAAAACGAAAAATTCTGGTAATTTCTTTGTTCCTCAGTTAACTCAATATTTTGTTTATCTGTAACGGTCACAGTGACTTAGGCTATTTGAAAATCACTTTTGAAAACATTTTAAAATTTAAATGTGATGTTATTGTAACCCTGACACTTTAAGAGGGGCACTGAGACATCTAAAGAAGAGGAAATGGGTGAGGGGACAAGAAATATTGTATTGGAGAGGCTTGAATGAGTTGGGAGAATTTAATTCAGAGACAAGACTAAGAGGGAATATAAATTTGTTCATCCACTCATTCATTCAAGCATTACTATCTCCTATGTGCCAAGCATCACACTGGGAATTGGGAATTCAGTAATGAATATGCTACAGTCACTGCCCTCAAAGAGTAGAGAATCTACCAGGGAACAGAAGCAATTGTAACACAATGTGCTAATGGCCACAGCAAAAGCAGGCATCAAGGCATTAGGGAAATTCACAGAGTAGGTACCTGGTATGGACTAGGAGGTGGGCTGTCATCAGAAGACAGTAACAGCGTGGTTCCTCAAAGAGGACCAAGGCAGGCCAGACTGAAGATGAAGGGGGGAACAAAAAAAAGGAGGAAAGCAGGGAGGGCCAGGAATAAGAGAAAACACGATCCACGGAGGGCACCATGCACTCATCAGCAAAGCTAGAATGTCAGGTAGGAAGGGGCAGAATGGGCAGGGGGCCTCCATGTGAGAGGCCGTTACTCATCTGCAGCCCCACTGATTTACAGAGCCTGAACTGCCTCAGCAGAGACAGGGCCACTGGACTCCAGCAGGACAAGTTAGCAACTGGGTGGGTGCGGGACAGGAAGACAACAGGAAGAGCCCCCTAGAAGAACTGCTCTGCTCGAGGGCCACACAAAACCTTTATGAGTGGGCGCTAAAAGGAGACCCATTTTGGCTCATGACAGAGAATGTTTTAAGACAGAGCTCTGTGAAAAGGGACAGGCTGCCAAGGCCAATAAAGTGCATTCATGCTATAAGGGATATTCAGGAAGAACCTGGATGACCATTTGGCAAGGGTTAGGGAATCAAGCACCGAAACAGAGCGGGATTAGATGGGCGCTTCTCAGACTCGTTCCCCAAGGTAGGGGGTCTTTTATAAGCAGAGTGGCCACAGCACTGTCCGGCAGGCCATCTGATGGCCCACCAATATGCCGAGAGGAAAACTCAAACACAAGGCCATGCCCATCTGGCCCCAGTCTACCTCCTTCTCTACTGTCTCTCCAATGTTCTCCTCCCCCCGTCCACAACCCCCCAACCAGCAGCCCTCCCTGGGCTCCAGCTGGCTCTTGATGTGGCTAGGCCCTTCTTACCCTTCAGGCCGTGAGAGAATGCCTCTCTCTACCCAAGAAGTCTACCCTGCCCGTGCTGTCTAAATCTAAACATATCCCTGCACAGTGTTCTCTCCCTTCAAAACCTGCTTGCTTCCCTCATAACACTAATTACAAAGTGTGACTGTCTGTATATTTGTTTTTTTTTTTCCCTGTATGTCCATTAGATAGCAAGCTCTAGAGGATAAGGACCACGCTTATATTTCTAGTGCACAGGACAGCCCCTACTGAATAGGTGGCACTCAATAAATACTTTTGATTAGTTATCAACATGGGACACAGAATATGGCCAACCTAGGACGGCACATTAAAGTCTATGGTAGCTCTTCAAAGTGTACTTCTCCCATAACAGAAGTCACTATGGGAGGAAACCACCATCACCAGCCGGGAGACTATTGCATCCCTAGCAAAGATGCTGCAACAAAAGGCTAAGAACCACTAGGTCAGACAGTCTTCAAATTTATGTCCAACCCCAAATTTTATGAATATACACAGTAATTCTTTAAAAACCAAGCTAATTTACTCATGCTGTTAAAGCTAGATCTCAGAAAACTGAAAGGTTATCCTTGCCCCTTCTCTGACCATTTTTTCACCTCTATCCTGCTTTTTCTACCACGACAAAATGGGACCTAAGATACCAGAGAAAGACTTTATTTTTCCTCAAGGCTCAGGGTGAGTCTGTCTGAATAACAACTTTTCTGAAAGGAGTGGATAAAATTAAATGCTGGGTCTTCCTTGTGCTGAGTGTAACAAGTGACCCCAGGCCAGTGCCTCCACTCTGGGGCCACGGCTCACAGGCCCAACAAGCGTGAGGAGAGAAGCTGCAAAGGGCCAAGGCCAGGGCCAAGCCCTAGAATGAGGACTAAGAGATCTACCCCTTGTGCCCACAGGACAGATGAGTCTCTGGTGAATTACCAGGCTAAGCGTATTTTAAGACAGAATAAATTGCTTAAAAAGGAAACACGCTTTAAAAGTTGTGTGCTCGCAGCAGGAAAGCTGGTGAGTAGACAGACTGACTCTGCAGTAAAGCAATGGAGGAAGTGACTCCGGGGGGAAGGAGGCAGGAGAGTAAAAGGAGAGCCACAAGGAGAGACTTTAAATTACCCCCAGGAAAGCCCCCGGCAAAAGAACTAAGACTCTGGGTTAAGGAGGGGCGGGGAAGGAAGAGGAGAAACCCAAACTCCATCTCAGCCAATAAAGGGCAATACTGGTTATAGCCCTAAACCCAGAGAAGCCTGGGCGCAGAATGGAAGGGCAGCTGGATGCTGGCTTTTCAGTCATCAATGGGAATCCTCAGATCCAGGGGATCACATCAACGGTGTCATCTTCAAGTACGGCCATGTGACGTTTACTGGCTGAATAACCGCACGGATAACCAGAAGGACCCAGAATTCTGTCGACTTAAGCACGCCACTCCTTCTACCTGAGGATGGGATCATCTGGAAGTAAGTTTTCAGGCCTGTCAGAACACTTTGAAAAGGCTCTTGAGTGTTCAGCATCCCATGCCAGTGTGGGGCACTGCTAGCGTGAATTAATGAAGATGATCTTCCTTCTATAAATAGCTTCAATCTTCAGTATGACCAAAGATACAAAAAGAGCAAAGTGACTGGTCAATCTAGATTTTACTACTTCACTCTCCCCTTGCCTCTTTCTGGTGAGGATGTCAGGGGATAATGATACTGCCAAAAGACGGGAAGCAAGAAAAAAAATAATGAGCATTACACAATTTATGAACTGGATCATCACGGCATGAAAGGCACTGAAGTCAAAGGCAATGAATTTTCTGTGTAATTTGGAGACTGAAGGAACACCGTTCCACAGACCAACACTAATAGTTTAAAATGTCTCATTCCATCTTCCTCAGCGAGGCCCTTTCTCTCTAGTCAACACATAGCTATGGTTACCCAACTAGTCAAATTTCTTCTCAGCCACATACACATTCGCATGGTCTTAGAGAAACGAGGGGTCATCCCCAGGCCTCTTCCGCACCCCTAACTCCGTAGATAAGCATGCTTACAGGCACACTTCACTCGCTTGCCCTCACCTATTGCTTGGGATTGAGTCGGAGACTGCTGGGCTATCGTGTTGGGAGGGTCCAGCCCGGGTATTCACCTACAAGGTAAGAAAGAATCTCGATCAGTCTTGTGTTCTGAGGACACAGTTCCAATTAACCTATAATTTGCCACAAATTTCTCATTTCACTATGAAGGTTAATTAGCTTGTTGCTAGACAGACCCACGGTCGGAGTCTATTCAGTATATAGGTTACAGAACTGTACAACCCGTATATTACATAATACACTTTTCCTGTCATTATTCAAATACTTAGACAGCATTGAAAAAAGGGAGAGATAAATGGGAAAATTTCAACTCACGGTCCAGAACAGAATTCAATTCACTGTTCTGTTTTGTTTCATATACAAAACAATATGTTCAAAAAAAACATTAACAATACATCCAGAGGTTAGTGGTGAACCTCAAGTTTTCGCATCTTTCCAGCTCCAAAGCCAAACAGAACACCCTAGCATGTTTCTTATTCACTGGAAAACGAGATCCAAATAATTAATTATAAAATGCTTGAATCTAATACAATAGCTAGCTTTTCTTTCCAATGTAAAGCTATAAGCAGAAATCCGGAATTCAAAAGACACAGAACAATGAAAAGACATTAAAGAGATACATGTTTCTAGCATAAATATGTCAAAAGAAGAGGTGGGTATTCTGTGTGCGAGATGCTTATGTGCTTAATGAATCACTGAAATGAAGTCTACTTTCATTCAAATAAATCGTTGTGGACACCAGTACCTAGAATCATCCTGAAGAAATGGACCAACAAAAAAATTCCAAATAATAAAAAAAAAAAAAATACAGCACCAAACCCCTTCTATTCAAATATGTACACATACTGAGCAAATACTACAGATGAATCCCCCTCCACATCCCGTTTAAAAAAAAAAAAAAAGGAATCGCTTGTCAGAGCTTGAGAAAGTGCAGTTTTATTTGACATTTCAATAAGTGGAACACAGCATTACAAATCCATCTAACTTTACTGAAACAATTATTGAAATTCGTACCTTCAGGCCATGTATGTTCCGTTCCCCAGGAGGCTTGCAGGCTGAAACAGTAATTGACTAAATTGTAGAACACATCAGGGCCATTTACAAATTTGCTCAAAATGAATCGTTTAAAAAGAAATGAGGGTGACACCAAAATTAGCAGAGAGAAATGATTGAAAAGTGGCTCCCAAGACCCAAAGTGGGAATTATGAACCAGGGTTTTTAACTTGCAGGAGTGAGCATTTATAAATGCAAAGAGCTTTCTGACACCACCTCATATAAATTCCAATTTCTGCTTAAAACATATAAAAATCAAGTTAACTGAGCTAAAATGATTAGATTCCTTTCATAACTCAAATTTCTGCAATCTTTCCTCAACTCTATTACATTGTATATCTGCTATCACTTAAACTACTTTAAAAATAGCTAGGGTTTTTTTGGGGGGGGGTGGGTAGTAGCAGAAATCTTTTAATGCCAGAAAGATGGTTAGAGATTTTAAAATGGAATATTCAAGTTTGAATACCAGTTTGCACAGCAATAAGTAGTCAAATTTATTAAAATACAGAGATATCACTAATTTTACTACTTTTTTTTGTAAATCTTGACATCTAATATTTAAGTCTAAAGATAAAACCATGCCAGGAAAAATAATATTAATTTCCTGACACCACCCTGAGTTACAGGGTAGTACTTTTCCAATTCAGCAAATGCTTCTTCATCATGTGTTAAAAATGTGTCCTGCCCATTTTATAGGCTGCTTCCATTTGAAAACTACAGTGCCCTACAGCTTGTATGTTAAGGGACTGTCAATTGTGATTGATTGTTTGGGGAAGAATATATTTGATTTTTTTCTCCTCTCTCCGATGTACATGTATTCTTCCTCTGTTTCAGACAACAAGAAATAAAACTGTTTAATAAAGAGAAGATGTGGGTAATAATTACAAGGCATATCAGTTGCTTTAATTTGTATATTTTGGGTATATTTAAATTTATCATTATTTTCCTAGAAAATACATCTAAACCTAAACAAAGAACTCTTATTTTCCCTAAAATACATTAAAATTAGGACTCCAAATCTTCTTTCTGTAAAATGGAAATTAACTTTTTGAACAAAATCAAAGTCACATATATTTGATGCCTGGTCCTTGAGGGACCATTAATACTTCCTAAGACAACACTTCAGAGTATTTCCACTTAAGTACCCAGTACATTCATAAACTCCATTTAATAAAAAAGTGGCTAACCAAGGAATTAGAGACAGGCATCAACTCTTACCTCTTACCTTAACATCTGCCTCATTACTCAATTGGCTTCTCAAACCTTTATGACTAGAAATCTACACAATATTCAAAACACCCAGTAACCTCACATTTCCTAAAGTTATGGAGTCAGAAGGTACATAAAGCTAATAAATTTTCATCCTTATTAATATGTAACATATCTCTTAACTACAGAGAGCACAGGCATGAGCTGGGAGTTACCATCCAAGGCAACTGTCTTACCTGAATGAGAACACCAATGTTCAAATAAAATCGTGTTCTCCTACCTTTCTCACTTGTTCAGTCTAGAGATTCTTTTCAGCCTGGGGCCTGACCAGAGAAACTAAGGTCTGGGGGCCTCTAACCAAATAGGTATTAACCTAGGCAGCCTGCCCAATATGTCTATCTATATCCTCGTTATAAGTGCGCATAATTTCATTTACGTACATAAAATATAGGTAAGAAGCCCAAAGCAAGACTATTAAAAAAACTAAAAAGAGTTATACAGGAGTGCCTGGGTGGTTCAGTCAGTTGAGCATCTGACTCTTGATTTTGGCTCAGGTCATGATCTCAGGGTTGCGAGATAGAGCCCCGCATCCACTTGGCTCCATGCTCAGCGTGGAGTCTGCTTCTCTCCCTCTTCCCCTGCCCCTCCCTCCACTCACACATGCAAGCGGACGCTCACGCTCGCTCTCTCCCTCTAAAATAGATAAATAAATCTTTAAAAATGAATAAATAAATAAAATAAGAATAGTTGTTCAATAGCATCCAAGAAACCACAGAGACAGGGGGCTGAGTCTCATATTTTAAAAAATTCAAGTCTGGCTTGAAAGAATTTTATTTAATAATTTATGGGAGCCTAACAGTCTGTACTAGGACCACATGTGATGATCACATCTCATATACCATCTTCTTTTAAGTATCTTCTCCCTGCAATATACTGTTCTTTGCACTTCTACCAACCCCTCCAGTCTACCCCCAAGCACACTCCATGGATATTTTCATTTAAATGCACTTCCACTTTAAGCAAATTATGACTTAAACAAAATTCTTAATCAAAGGGTATACTAACCACTTACAGGCTGTTGTGGACTCTGAGGTTACTTAACCTCTCTGAACCTGCAGATTCTCATCTATACCATGGAATCAATAATGCTGAATAGGCAGAAATGTCAGGAGAATGAGAAATGAAAACAGTTAAAGCAATATTAATGCCTACAGAGCATTAATAAATGGTCACTACTGCCATGAGAGGCAGCACAATGGTGTGGACAATAAGACTGCAAAGGACTGCTCACGAAATAAAAGAAAAAAGAAAAAAAAAAAAGCCTGGAAAGATTTTTGGATGAAGGGAAGTAAATCTTTTACTGAGGCAGGGGCAGGGGCGGGGGGACCACAAAGACCCACAACATCAGAACTATAATTTTCCAGGTCATATTAGAAACTAGCATATTTCGCTACAACAAAAGAGTTATGAAGTCAAGTAGGGAAACAATGAATTAAAATTTTCAGCTGGCAAAAGAAAAAAAGTATTCTTTGTGGAGAAACAATTTTGAAACTTGCCCAAATTCTCCCATCACTGAAGATAACGAGAAATGATCTCCATCTCTTATTATTGGCCTAATGCACAAAAATGGCAACATTTGCTTTTCTACATTTGCTTTTCTCTTTTTCTTTTTCTATTTTAGTTTTTAGTCTTCACATACAAGAGAATCGGATTAATCATAATTTTTGTTTCAGACACACTATCAATGGCCCGATTTTATTTACTTACTTAAGTCTTTAATACATTGTTATTATATAAGTACTCCCAATTGCACTGCCCACCTTAATGCTAGAAAGGCATTACTCTTGAACCCAGACCTTCTTGCGGGCTAACCGAATCAGCTGCCCTTGGAGACTTGATCAGCATAAATAAGAGTCTACTGGTTAATTGAGCCACTCAACTTCAGAGTGTTAAAGGCAATGAAAGTCTAGAACGTTTAATTGAAAAACCCATACCATGATTATTTGTACAGTATCTGTTAACAAAGGTAAGTTTAACTTTTAATGATTTCAATTAAGTTATTTCTAGAAAAGTTATAACATTTCCTTATCCGCTCCATCAGTTAGAAAATATGAATTCCAAGTGGGACAATGTATAGTGAGGGAAAGACTTAACAGCTTATATTACATGGTCAATTAAGTTGTTCTTTTTTTACTATTCTTCAAATTTTGAGGGAACATTCATGTACGGTTGATCAATTGTGTCTGACACAATGCTAGTTCTGCCCACCTAAAAGGGAAAAGGAACATTATTTGACTAGGTGATTCACCAAAACTTACCCTCACCATCGAATATTTCTGGAGACTTAACAATTAAATTCCCATTTATGAAGATTCTCCATCATCTGGAAAACGCCACCCCCCAAAACCCAAGCACCAAACACTACCAATTCTCCCCTAAAACCCTGCAGTAAATCTTTGCTTCTGTACCAGCTGAACGCTTTCTCCTCAACAGCAGCTTTGGCTCCCATTAGGAGCCACAATTTATAAATATCCAAAATTAAAGTCATTCATTTGCCTTGGTTTAGAAACCATGTGGACCCCCAAAGAGTTCTTTAAGCCAATGTAAGTATGTACTTCAAAAACAAAAAACAATCTAGTTAGTTTAATTTACTCTAGTAAATTAGATATTTTATCTGCCATAACTATAATATAGCCTGCAATCCCCACGATAATGAATACTTCTTTTGTTTTTTCAAATTAAGAGCTAAACATCATGTTATGTGCATTTAAACCTTTGGAAAACATAACTGTTGATGAAACAGTTTACTGAAATAATCATTGTTGATTAGAATTTGTTCAACATTACCTCTCGGAAATATCTGCAGAGGTTCTATTAACTGTCCATTTACTTGCTGTTCCATTACTGTGGAATAATACTGCAAAGAGATTATAGAAAGAGATTACTCAGTAATGTATGAATACTGGAACAGACACTTATGGGCTGTTTAACTCATAGTACTTCTGTAAATTGCTGGTATATACATATCAGCCTCGAGAATACTTTTTTCCTATTTGCACATAAAAATGACTATAACGAATAAACAGGATTGAAAGTCCAGTATAATGTTACCCTCCACACTGTCATTTATCTTTAAAAGTAAAAATGGTGATTAGGAATTCATTATTTAATCTCAAGAAATATTTTGCAAATGACATGTATTAAAAATGACACAAAGCTTTTTAGTGGAAATTTCTCAAATTGCCTCTTGTTCTTTTCTCTGGAAGACACCTTGCCTTTAGCTTGGACCTATGTGCCAGGTAGTAGATAAAATATTATACGTATTTGTGTATAAAATGTACAGATAATGGAAATCTAAACTATAGAGACTGTGGGACAAGCAAACAATATATCCATCCAAAGACGACAGGATTAATATGATAGAAAGCTGGCTCAGTTTTTGTTTTGCTTTGTTTTTTAAATATTTTATTTATTTATTTGACAGACAGAGATCACAAGCAGGCAGAGAGGCAGGCACAGAGAGAGAAGGAAGCAGGCTCCCTGCTGAGCAGAGAGCCTGATGCGGGGCTCGATCCCAGGACCCTGGGGTCATGACCTGAGCCAAAGGCAGAGGCTTCAACCCACTGAGCCACCCAGGCGCCCTGAAAGCTGGCTCAGTTTTAAGCAAATACCTTTTATGCTTCACTTTTATCAACACATATTAGTATAAAACAAATGTCATTTTAAAATTCTGGACACATGGGGCACCTAGGTGGCTCAGTGGGTTAAAGCCTCTGCCTTCGGCTCAGGTCATGACCCCAGGGTCCTAGGATGGAGCCCCGCATTGGGCTCTCTGCTCAGCGGGGAGCCTGCTTCCTCCTCTCTCTCTGCCTGTCTCTCTGCCTATTTGTGATCTCTGTCAAATAAATAAATAATTAAAAATCTTTTAAAAATAAAATAAAATTCTGGACACAAAAAATTAGTTCCAAATGAAAAGGCTTTTATACTCCTTCATAAACACAAATTCATTCACCAGGTTGTATTATGGTCTGACACCCATTTTTCCTTAACAGCCTAAGTTAATAAATCTAAGTGGTGACCGTATGTCCACCTAACTTGGAGATGGATTTTGTGACCTCACTTCTTTTAATACTAGACAAAGTGATGCTCTTGGTGGAAAAACATCAACGCTGAAAACCACCAATGTTGTGTTTTGAGGCGTTGTAACACACAGAGTGGAACTCTCCTTTAATTCTTGCTATTTCTATATTTCACACACACACATATTATGGAACTGCCACCTTTTTGGAGAAGAATTTCCAAATATAATCATTATTTGCTGACACTCCAAAAAAGACGTTTTTAGAAGATACAGACAGACATCTTCCTAAGGCCTTTATGCATCTTAAAATTATTACAAAATCATGGGTTTGTTTGTTTTTAGAAATAAAGGGGAGCCATGTAATTCTACATCATCTTGGGAATCACAAGTTAACGATCCAAGGCTCTTTATCCTAAAAACAAATCAAGTGGATTTTTGATAGCAATGGATGGATACAAGTGTAACCTGCTCTCCAAGGGCCTCCAAACTGTAAAGAAAACTGATCATCTCCTTCTGTGGATGTAGAAGCTTATATTCATACAGCATAAACACATGTGACACACACTCTGGAGCACATACTAAGCCGAATGTCTTTCAGGAGACTATATTCCTTAAAACCACAGAAATATACCGCTCGCCATTACTCAAACAGTGATGACAAGTAAATGAAATATCCATCATGTAGGCTGTCAACCTTTTGGGACAGCAATAACTGTTAACAAGTAGTATGGAAAAATTGTCCGAAAATGACTTGTCCTCGGCTCACAAGTATTTGAGGTTTCCGTGGAAAATTAAGATGCCAGTGGCTATTTGGAACATTGTTCAGGTATTCTTTTTAATGGGAAATTTGCTGGTTATTGATCCACAGCATGTACCCCCTTGGTTCTGGAAGGCTGCAAGCAACTTTCCAATCAGTGGCTGTCAAAAAAATTACTGCCTTTTTATACTGATACAAGACAACAGCAGTGGTGGTGTTCTCCTATAGTTAATGCTTTTCTTTAATTAACTGCTATGTACAATAGGTTAGTCATTTCAGTCACTACTTCACTGCAGTCCTAGAACCCAAAACAAATAAAATATCCTTATGCTTTATCTAATAGATTAATTATAGAGTTGTCTGAAACTGGTGCTTGGGGTCAAGTTTGAAAACAAATAACCTCAAATGTAAAGGGTCAGAACAGGTGCAATGCATTTTTTTCCTACTATAAAACCTTGCATGCATGAAATTGACCTGTTTTCCAACTTTATTTATTTACCTCACTAAATAAATAAATAAATGAATATAGTTTCCCTTTCATTTCAGATCTGTGCCAAATCAACTGGCAAACTATATATGCTTTTATAAACATTGTACATATTTTTTTTAGTCATCTATAACCATCTCTTTATGCTACCATTTACACGGGCACACTAATGATGTTAAGTGTGCCCCTTGCCAGTATCTCTAAAGCGAGTAGTTAGCATTTGTTTTTTGCTTTCTCCAATTTTTCCAAATCCAAGGGACATTTTTTTTTCCTGCTGAAATACTGGGCTTGATCTCTATCTGTATTAGCAGAGAATCTTGTGGTAAAGTAATTCTGCATCAGAAACACACTGCAAAGGGTGGTTAATTAATAAGCCCAGGGCTTGGGCCCACCCTAGGCAGGTGACTCAGGAGCAGGTCCTGTGAGGGCTGGTGGGCTGCCAGTGAGGGACAAGACCCAGGAGCTCGGGCTGCTGCATACGTATCGTTCTCTGAGGAATAAGGATACAGCGCGGGGCCACGGGTCTTTCCTGGCACAGAACAGTCCTGACAGGCCACAGGCCCGTGTCACTCGTGGACATAAGCAAGGGACTTGGGGAGTTAGAGGACCCCAGAGTGCAAGCCTGAGGACTGGCCGTTCCCTAGCACACAAGCTCAGCGAGGAAACACTGGCTGCCCCTTGGGTTACTCCTGTGAAATGAAGATGCTACAGAGCCAGAACAGCACGAGGAGACTCACGGGAGGGACGGGAGCTCGCCTCAGAGCCATGGAGCAAGCTGCTTCTCGACCCAGGTAGACTCAGTGTTTTCAGAAATTCTCCCTTTAGGGCTCGCTTCAGCAGCACATGTCCTAGAAATTCTCCCTTTAGACAGAGCCTTCCTGATTTTGTTCTAAATAGTGATCAAATAAGCAACAGTGACTTTCACTAGCCCAAAACAAACTGAAGAAAACAAACAAAAACCTCAATCCTGTATGCCAAGACACTTTACATGGCTTGCACAGCAAAGTGACAAAGTGACACGATAACATTAATGGGGCCATAATCTGAAGCTATCCAAACGACTGCCCGAACACAATCTCTATGACCCTATCCTGGCTTTTATTATCCTGAACACGGAGCCCTGTACACAGTAGGTGTTCAATAACTATTTCCTGACTGAGACGGGGCCTACTTCTGATTCTGCCACTTATTACGTAGCCATTGATCCTCACCAAGCCCCAGCCTCCTCCAAATGAGAGGGAAGCGAGCTAGTCTATTACACAGGGTTGCCATGAAATCTACCCGCAGCAGCGCTGTTTGGGAAGGCACTTTGTAAACTGCAATGCCTTCCTGGTGGTTGAGAAAAAAAAAGTGAGCCTCCTACCACTAGAACAACAGCACTTTCTGAATAGAAGTCTGCCCACATTTCAAAATACAAAAATAGTTAGGTACAAAAAGCACAAACTATTGTGCTCATACTGAATACATCAGCAGCAGTTACAAAATGTGTTTTCCGCTGGTATTCCTGGCAGAATCCGTTACACGGAGTAATTGCAGCAATAATCAATAAGCTAACTGAGTAAAAGATTAATCAGTTTTGTGATTGCTAATGGAATCTCCAGTACCAGACTCAGATTGTTTCAGAGTCCCTCTGAGATGTTCTTCAAAATCCTTAAACAATTTTAATAAGGATGTGACAAAGTTTAGCACAGTTATCCAAAAATCTAATTAATTTGAAACAGAGGGCCAGATTCAACGAGGGGATAGCAAGTACAATTCTTGGTTTGTTTTGTTTGCAAGCTTATCAAACAGTGTTCCTATTTGTTATGAACCTAATTCTAACAGCACAATTCAATCAATAATTACAACATTTTTTTCTTCATGGAAATGTGCCACATAAAAGACTTGAGTTCTAAAACAGCACAGTTTAATTTTACAAGGCGCAAATTCTCTGTTAAGAGAGAGAGAAACGAGAGACGGAGAGAAATACACGCACACACATGGCTACTTATTGACCACCGACTGTGTATACGTTTCACTAGAAGCTATTCATGTTTATTCATTTAATTTCTCACAACCCTATTCCGTTCTGCAAGGGTCATTCACATATGAAGCCAATGGTTTATCAGTGAATCCCCCCACCCCGCCAAAAATTACTTCTTTCATTCTAGTCCATACATAAAATGTATGTTTACTGTTTAAGAGTCAAAAGGTAAGTTATCTCTTATTTCTCAGACCTCAAAACATTTACATAAACCAGGCTACCGGGCAGCCTGCTGAGCAGGTGGGAGTGTGGCTTCTTCAGTCATACCCGGGTATGACTGGTCAGGCCATGTCACCGATCATTCACAGACTACGGATGCACCGCACCGATGGGTGACCTCTCCCTCCTTCTTCGGCACCCAGCTCTGGTTTTCCTCCTCCCTCTCTGACCAGTCTAAGCAGTTTCCTGTAAGTGGTTCTTTCCTCACCCCTCCTTTAAATGTTAGAGCTCCCCATGGTTTTTCACCAACCTTCTCTTCTTATTTTATACTCTCCTTGAGTTAACTTCAGCCACTCCAAAGGTTTCAATTACCAGAGGAGTCATTGAGACTAATTAGGAGCTGATGAATC